AACTGAAAATATTTGCTCGGAAGAGCAAATGAATACAGACAGCACTTAGGAGCTTAAATGGTGAAAAGAATTCATGTGGCTTAAAAATGACAAATCGATCCATTTTAGAGCAAAATTATTTACAGTTCACTTGTCTGCCAAGACCGAAGGCCACTGCAGAAATTTACATGGACAACAGGAAAAACTCCAAGTGTTGATGAGATATAAGGCCAATGTCATTAAAGGTTGTATGGAAATTAGAGACTCAAATTGAAACGAAAGCAGATGATGGTCTTTCCTTTTGTTTTTTTTCCTTCCATCATTTATGGGTCTAAAAGTCAAATGATTTATTCCAAAAAGGCAGGCCGGAAGGTTTAATGGAGAAGAAAAGGAAAGCATTGACTGGAAATGAAAATGAAATTTAGTTCACAGTAAAATGTTTTAAAGAAATTTAAAACAAGGACAAAGTCTATTTTCTAGAGACCCAAAGGGTCAAGAACATGCACTGTTGTCAGAGGCGAGTACTATGCAGACTTGCTTAGCCAATACCCAACTGCCATCAAGTGACCTCCAATTCATGGAGATGCAATTCATGGTGTGTCAGAGCAGAACTGTGCTCCACGGGGTTTTCACTGGCTGATTTTTAAGAAATAGATCCATCACCAGGTCTTTCTTCTGAGGTGACTCTTGGTGGCCTCGAACCACCAACCTTTCAGCTACCACTGAAGCATGGAATCCTTCTATCTAATTCTATTGCTCCCATCTACTGTGGCTCCTTGTAGTTTATAGGAACTTTGATTGGTTCTATTAGGTCCCTGCATGTCAGACAAGCAGCTTAGGGGAAAGGACAGAAGCATACGGCTGAGTCTGAGACAGAGGCAGGGTACATAAAAACCAGATCATTCAGACCCGGGTCACTCCCTGTGCACATTATCTACGTCTTTTGTGTTTCTCCCTTATTTCTCGTAATGACTAGCTAAGGACAGTTTCCTTAGCATCCTTCCAGGGGAGAGAGACTGCAGACAGTGGAATGGAAACCTGTCATTATTGCTATCTTTCAGCTTGCTGCATTTGCTACAAAAAGCTTGTTGAAGAGAAAGGCTTACACAGGATTCTATGGCTCCTACGTGAAAACTCCACATGAAAAGTTTTTTTTAGTAACTGGGGAAAGTTTGTCTCCTTAGTGATCAATGCATACTTTCTTTCATTAGATAATATAACTACTAATGTGGTCTCCTTCACTACCCAGGTAGTTGGGGAAATACCTAAGAATTCCATAGCTCAATCACTGCATCTAACTCTTTTTTGTATGAGTCTGTATAGTTACTTAGGTGATTTTCATTAAGAATGCGGTGGTTTTCATTACGCTTTTACTTGAGTCTCTATTTCTGTTCTGTTAACTCTTGAAAGTAAGTGCTCAGCAGACTGACAAGGTGAGTGGCTATACAGATCTGCCAACTTATCTGGTCATCGTTTGTCTCTCCCCAGTTACCGGAAGGCAGGAATGCTTTTTGTTTCAGTTCCTGTTGTATGCTGGCACTGGCTCTGATCCACAAAGGAACTTAATAATATGTGCTGATGAAATTAATGAATGCATAAACGACTGTGTTGACTTGTTGAAAATAGATGCTTTTCTGAAAGGAGTAATCAATAAATTGTTTATAAGCTCCAAGATGAAAGGCACTGTGACCATCTTACATAGTATTTTTAGTGACTCACACTGAATCTGATACACGGTAGCTTCTCAATATCAGTTTGCTGAATAAATGGATGAATGAATAGATGGAAGGTAAATGAGTGTATGGATAGAAAAATGGACAGATGAATAAATGGATGAAAGGACAGACAGATGGATGATGGATGAATGGACAGTGGATGGACAAGGGCATAGATGGATAAAAGAAGGGAGAAAGACAAAGAATATTTGGGAAGTGAACTAATAGAAAAACAAGGGGATGTTGTTGTTATTGTTAAGTTGCTTCCGACTCACAGTAACTGTACAGGGCTTCTCAGGCTGTAAATCTTTGTGGGAGCAGCCAGCCTTATCTTGCTCCCCCCCTGGAGCGGCTGATGGGATCAAACTGCCAACCTGTGGTTCTCAGTCCAGTGCTTATCCTAGAGAGTCACTGACTTAAAATCTGGGTTTTAGTATGACATTAAGTGTTTAAAATTCACACACACAAGATCCTCAGGCATGATGTACATTGAGATTCTCAGTTAAGTAAGTTTCTGAGGATTCTAAGGATGATTAAGTTGTGCCATGGAATCAGTTTTCCAGACAGACCTAAAACATGACAGCAAATATATATCTTATTGTTGTATCTGCCATTTGGCAGAAAATCCCTGATGATACGGAAGCCCAAGTACTAAATTAATACAATGTTATTAAGATACTGCCACCATCCCCAATGAGTCTCTCCACCACAAATTCAACATTTAAACTAAATCTAGTAGGTGAAATTGCTTATTAAGAGTACGCTATGGAAACTACCCAAGCTGAGACACCAAATAAAAAATACAACTCTTTCTGTTCTAGTAAAAAAAACCCTTAATTATTGAAAACATTAAAAAAAAAAAGGATGAAGGCAAAAGGAAGCTGTCAGTCAACCAAGCAAGCCAACACTGTCAGGATAATCTAAGAAAGAAAGGAGGGGAGGGGGTAAAAAAAAGAAAAAGCATGGTTTCTAGGTTAAGAGATAATATATTCACAGGACTTTTGGTCAATCTGTGCTTATCATAACTCAGAAACAATCAACGTGCATTTCATTAGGGAGAATGCATAACTGACCGTGCCTGTCATTAGCAGAACGGCTTTCTGGAACCATGGCATTCAGCTTCCCCATGGATTCATTCCAACCCCACCAGAAAAATCCCATCATCATCCATCTCTCTGGCAGGACATCATCAAAATTCAAACTGAAAGAAGGGAACAGCTTTCAACCCACCTGCATAGTGCTCCCACTGATCACAGATGTGAGGAATGCTCTACTGGCAACAGCAGACTTCGGCTGAGAGCCCCCACATTTTGTACAGCAGCTGCCAGGGTGTGCCAGCAATGCTGTGAAAACCATCATCCCTGTCCTGGCATGAATCAGGTAAGGATCCGACCAATACTGGGGGGACTTGTTCTTGTTCTAACTCAACAACACACCACCCCCTTAGCTTGTGGTAATTAAGAGCTAGCCGACTGTGGGCAAAGCAGTTTTTTCCTGGGAATGCAACCCTAGTAATTGGCTTGCTGCTTGCTAATGACATTGCTTCTACAAAAAATAAACTGTCAGAGGGAATTCTTTTAAATGATTTGGTGAAGGCAGGCTCTGTACCTGTTTGATCCCCTCTGAGTTCAGCAGGTAATTCCAGAACACTATGAGGGCTGAAGAGATGCAAATCAATCAGCAGAAATTCTTTTGCACAGCAAGTTGAAATGGGATGCAAAACAAAAAGAAAACCTCGCTACCTGACGTCATGAGGTCTGTGGAAAGCTCCTGTTTCTCCCCCAACATGGCCCCTGCAAACTCCATTCCTTGTGGGTTGTGTAAAATGAGTCCATACATTCACATGGAATGTTTAGGGGAGGAGAAGAAGAGAGGAGGACTTTCATTCAAGCTCATAAGCCAACAGCTTCCAGATTTGCTTCTATCTTTCTGAAGGCTGAATGGGTTTCTATGACCCAGGGAGAGGCACCATACACACATATACACATAGGTGTAAGCATCTCTGTGGGTCCAGGGTGGGCACCAACAAGCGCTTCTCTGCCTGAACATGAACACACCCTGACAAGAGAAGCAGCCCTACAGTCACATGGCCTATCCATCAGGCCACTAGAGGATCAATTACTATCGGGTTTTCCTCTTTGGGCTTCAGAATTCTGGAAGCTCCTTCTCTTGTCTCCTTGATAAAACTTCTGAATCTTGCTGCCAGGCGTGGAGACAGGTGGAAGGAGATCAGCTGCAGTATCATAAGCTGCAAAGTTTGAAAGGTTCTTCTTTCCCGGGTGACAGCCGTACATTTTTTTCCCTCCCCACAATCTCCTCAGCCACATAGAAACACCCCATTATCTTAATTTTAATGAACTGGGAAGCCCTTTGCACATGGATCAATCACACAAATTTTTAGTTTTTCAGGAACATTTCAATGTGTTGCCAGTGCCCCAGGAGCAGAAGTATACACCATCAAGCAAAAACACTATAGCTTCTAAGCTATTAGCTAACATGTCAACGAGGTAATGCATCTTCAGGGAAACCAGATTAGAAAGGACAGCAAAACATTGATTTTTTTTTTCTCCCCCTTTTAAAGAATCCTATACCTGCAGCATAATGCTTCTAAAGCTAGCAAAACAACAAAGGACATTTCCACAGCAAGGAAATGTCTTATTCTCAGTCCTGGGGCTGTGAGAATTAGTCTATCTGAGCATGGCCATATGTATATATCCATATGTGTATATATATATATAATATACACACACACACACACACATATATATATATATATATATACACATATGCCCATATATATCTCACAGAAATTCTCCCTGAAACCCACAGGTTAGTTCCTTTATAAAGTACTTTGTCATCCAGTGCCAAAGAAAGCTCAGGGAGTGAATTTACCCAAGTAAATGATGGAAACACCAGTTGAGAGCAATGTTACCCAGGAAGAAGGTGGAGCTTCTATTCTTTTTTTCCCCCTCCTCCCAAAAGAAACAATGGCATTTGTATCAAGGTAATGCAGCAAAGAAACTCATCTATTAGAAGGAGAGTTGTGACACGTTTCTACAGACAAGATTGCAAACATGCATTTTTTTATCCTGCCTCCTGCAGCCTGCCCACAAATCACTATACAGTTAAATACAAGCCCAAATACCTTCTTCACCAAACAGATTCCCCAGAACTTAATAAAATGAGCCCTCCGCTCCTGTCTCCCCATCTACTCTAAAACATACTTAGTGAAGTCAAACAAGAGTGTCCACCTCCCACCCCACCTCTACCCCCCAAACAAGCACCAAGTAACTGACAAGTCCTTACCGACTTTGGGCTCTTCTTTGGAACTGGCAGCCCTGGAAAAAATGCAACAAGGAAAGGGGGAGGGGAGACATCATTAGCATATAAACGTTACCTTTTCCTTAAAGAACAATCCCCAGGTGTTTCATGGCAACCTAGCCATCTGCAGAGTTATGTCAGATTTCTCCCCAGCATCGGAGTTACCAGGCTGTTCATATCGAATCAAAGCAGTGGGAGGAGGAGAGCGAGAGGCAGGAGATCTATCTGCATTAGCTATGCTGACTTGTACTGCAGCAGCCTGGAGGCTGGGAAAAGAAATTCACAGACCTCAGCGGCCTGGGAAATTGAACACTTGGACAGAATCTCAAATGCTCTTCTGGATTAAGAGAGACTTAACTTACAATTAAGTCCAGGATATTTCCTTTCTACAGGATCCACTTTTCAAGGGAAGTGGACCAATCAGCACAGTGGAAGGGGTATATATTTAGTTTCAAAGGAGTAGATGGTTAAAATGATTATTTTGTTGTTTCTTTTCTGCCCTCTTCTTTCTTTTATCTGCTTTTCAGGAGAGGAAACGCCTTCTTGATTTGGATGAGCCGAACACCAAAACAAAGAGAGATGCTCTTTGCCAGCACAGAAGGGTAAAATAGGAACACAAATCCAACTTGGTCTTAGATCCCTCCGACTCAACGCACACCTTTCGGTGGCTGTCAGTCATCCAAGCAATCTCCTATTCAGCTCATAGGGAAGGACTTGAGCTTGAATGAGCCCCTCCAGGGAAAAGCATGTAGTATTTGAGTGAAGGAGAGAAATTTCACAGAGCTGGTAGAAAAAGACAATCACAAAGAAAGAGAAAGGCAGAGGAAACAAAGGTGGTCATTGAAACTAGCGGACTCTTCTAAGAGCTTGTATTCAGAGGGAGGGATTCTGGAAGGGTTTCTGATCTCTTCTCTTCCTATTAGGGGAAGACTTCTGGGAAAGCTACCACCAGGGTAGAGTAGGAAAGGGAACTGAAACACACACGAGTACTCATGCTTCTAAAATAATAATAATTCTGCAAGGTGCCTCCCCCACTCCCTTTTATTTATTTGCTGTTTGTTTGAGAAGGGGGTAAGAATGTGAAAATGCAGATCCCAACTGTAAAAAGCACAAAAGGTACACTTGGGATGTGATTATTTTTACACTGGAAATGTCACCCTTTTTTAGAAAGCAATGCCTACATGTCACATGATAATATCAACTCCTTTGGAAGAAACTTGTAAAATCATGAGCCATGCTGAGTTCAGCACAAGTAATCAGGAGGACTGAGGACAGAGGGAACCACCCAGATGCCCATTGCTAATGTGCCTACTGCACGTGAGGAATGATGAGGAATAGCTTATCCTAAAAGGCATTTGGGAATAACTCTTGACACAGCTCATCACGTACCAGAATGAGGTCACAAAGGTCTGAAGGAACAGCACACAGACCTCAGTGTGCATATGGAAAACTTGGTTGCTTGATAAAAAGGCAGAGTCCCAAGAATCTGCAGTATGAACAAATATCCCAAGAGATTCGGATGCAGGGTGTCTACCGGCCGTGTTTAAGGAAATAGTGATACAGTACAGAGCATTATTTCTCTTTCAAGTCTGGCAAACTCTGACAGGCAACCTTCAGCAAGGCGGGTTAGAGTCCTCTATGCCTCAGTTCCTTCATTTATGACATAATATGACTCACTTCATCAGACTGCTAGGATAATTAAATGAGACAAAATGTCTAAAAGCCTCATACCTGTCACAGTGTAGGCACTCAAATGTCTACCCCTTTCACCTTCTTTTGCTAATTTAGATCTTTTAGAAAAGAAATAGTTATGGTTATCTTGCTCCAACTAGAGACAATCATTTGCTATGTTCCCTAAAAAAATAAAAAGGACTTTAAGGGAAATTTTACCTGTGGGTAAGAATAACTGATCTAACTGGGATAGGTCATTATTTTAAACAAATACTTATTAGGTATTTTTGTTTGTTCATTACAATTAATTTCCTTAGGGAATCTGATCAATTTATTCGTGTGGGTCACTGTACAACACTTGAGAATTACACACAACTAGATCTTTAAATTCAGCTGTTTCATTCCATAATTAATACCAAACTTCTTAGTTAATTGTAACACAAAAGTTTCATAGTATTTAGTTTTATTGGATATGACTCTGCCCAAGATCTTGATGACCTTCTGCTAAGATCTGGAAAGGATGCCCTTTCCATGAGGTAGGGGTGAGGGTGGGGAAATGGTATGAATTCAGTCTGTTACTAATTACTTCTACTACTCTGGACCAGTCCTACATTCCCTGTCTTTTAGGATTTTCACATATAAAATAATGGGCATTTTTCATTCTCTCTCATAGGGAAATACTTGCACACACATTCACCAGTGCATAGACAAGGATGTTTATTGAAGCACTGCTGGTATACAGAAAACTGGAAACCTCTGCAAGTTCTACAAAGCTGTGGGGTGACCAACCTACAGAGCATTCTGCAGAGGTTAAAAGGAAATGAGCACTCCCTACAGAGACCACCATGCAAGGTCTCCAAAACATAATACTGAGAACAGATACAATAGGATTCACATGCATACACACACAAACACACACAGCCTATGTGTATAGGTATACATCAAATAGAAAACAAATCATAGGGGCAAGGATTGGAAGGACTAGACTAAGAAGACTTGAATCCTACCTAGAATTTCTTTTACGTAAGACCATAGCCACACTGCACTTAGGAAATAAAATAGTAACTTAAAAACAAGCATTAATTAATTAACAGCCGTTCTACTCTTAACTGCACAAAACTAACCAGTTTGAAGACCACAAGATATTCAATTGTGCCAGCCATACTGTTTTATTTGAGGAAACAGTCTATACAATATTCTAAAATATCTCAGCTGAATCAACACCTCATGTTGTATTTTACAACAAAGAAGGAAATATCTGTATGAGGGGGCTTTAAAAAAGTTTCTGAAAAGTGAAATGAAAAGGTAATAGAAACTTTCCAGAAATTTTTGAAGCCCCCTTGTGCTTATACGCAGAGTAACACACAGTTTAAGGAAAAATCTGTTCCTCATTGTTACTTAGCTGTCAAAAATCTCTGCTTTAATAAAAAACAAAAACAAAAAACCCAGCACAACTTTAAAAGGAGTCAAAACTGGGTTGTGACCACAAATGAATATTTAAAGAGCCAAAATCAAGAGACTCCACTTGATTGCTTTGTAAAAAAGAAATCAAAGATTTGCTTTAGATCCATATGGTCATTAAATCTTAAAATCTAATAAATATGAGTACTAGAACAAATCTCCACTTTATAATTGATCATTTGTTTTAGCCCAAACTATTCAGAGGGATTGAAAACAGCAGGGAAACCTAATGAAAACATTCAAAAGGTCATGGTTTGGCAGAATTCTCCAAGATCTCTAGTCCAGTTAGCGTTCACTATAGATCATCCAGTGCTAGATGAATGACCAGGAATCAGCACAAGCCCACACTTCATGGTACGTTGTGGTTCTCCAGAGCAGCAGGTTATGTTCTCTGTAGCAGCAGGAAGCCGGTGTTGTGTAAATGCTGCCACTTACCACATAGGAGGCAAATGGGCAGAATCAGCACCTATCTAATCCGAATGGGCTCATCTGGTCCATTCAGGGTAAGGAAGGGAAGTGTTCAAAGGAGGTGGAAGAAAGAGTTCATAGATGGCACCATCTGCTCCTAGAACCTAGAGGGCAGCAAATGTTACTTCAAAGAGATCTTCAAAGTGTGAGGCTAAGTGTGATCAACAGGGGTGAGAAAAGCTTGAGTCCTGAATCTCTAAAGTTCCCAAGAAAAAAGAAGTCTCTTTGGAGAAAACAAATGGCAAATTATCTCCTAGTGGCTGACAACTGATCAATTAACTTGAGGAGGAAGAATCTCTTTCCCTTTAAATATCAAGGTCATAAACTATCCTGTTAACATGTTCTCATGTTACTAAGCGGCAGTGTTATTCTTGGTGAAATTTCATGACAGTTGCATGCAAATGATTTCTATGCAAAAAAGTAACAATATAACAGAATACATGTGCGTTTGGAAAGAAAGACTAACAGGCTATATACCAAAAGAATGTTTTCTTTGGGTAGTAAGTCATGTGTGACTCTATTACTTATTTTAGCATTTTCTATAGCAAGAGTCCTGGTGTGGCACTGTTAAAGACAGGTACTGGACTCCTCACCTCAAGTTTAGCAGTTCAAACCTACCAGTCGCTCCTCAGAAACCACATACACGGACGCTGTCAGTCGGAACTGACTTAACAACAAAAAACAACAACAAGAAAAGCATGTCTTACTTATAAATTCACACATACATATATACACAGAGACCACAATACAAAAAATTCAAACTGCCTATCTAAGTAAGATGAGTGTGATAAATTTCAGAACCTTTTATTATCTTGTAAAGCTCCACAGCCCATTCCAACCTCTACTTCTTCTAAGGTGGCTTCTTTTTTCTCCCAAATTGAGTACATACATGGAGAGTCTCTTTAAGCACTCTGCTGAGATAAAGACTTGTGCTTACCCTCCTAACTGAATGGAAACAGGGAAGAAGTAAGATAGCTCAGCTGGGCCATCTGAGAAAGACAAACAGAAGACAAGCTCTGCATTTCAGCAGTGACATGGATGAAACTTGAATTGCTGAGAAACAGATTAGCAGTCTCTGGACCAAATGTCTCCCAGGTTTAAAGGCAGTGAGAATGTCAAGCAAAACTCACTAGCTGAAAGAATCAAGAAAAGTGCAAAGGGCTCTGAAAGAATGAGTATTAAAAGCACTGCCACCATCAAAGTGGAACGATAAATAAATGATGCTATGTAAATGTAACTGGTTTGGTTTTCTTTTCTTTTTTTTCCAGTGGTAATGGTCTATGTTGGATTCCTTCTCAGCATCCTACCAAATGCTATAACACTAAATCCAAATGCCATTAACATAAATGATTCTTGAGACCTTTGCAAAACAAAATGGTGCAATCAAAACTTTACTAGAGTTGAAACAGGTAACAGT